AGTTGGACGAAATGTACCTTTATAGAGCCAAGGCTGCTTATTTGCGATCCAAAGCCAAGTGGATAGAAGAGGGTGAAAAGAACACTGCCTATTTTTGCAATCTAGAAAAATGTAGACAAGAATATAACTCAATATGTAACCTAATAATCGACGGAGAGGAATGTACAGACCCTAAACGCATTTAAATGAAGTATTTACTTTTTACAGTAACCTTTATAAGTCTTCATACTCAGAACAAAATGCCACCGCCTTCTTTGACAAAATCAGTAATTGGATTCTAGTAATTGATGATAATTTTAGAAAAATTTGTGATGAAGACCTGACTATAGAAGAATTTGATTTTGCTATTAAGAGCATGGCATCTGATCGTTCACCGGGACCAGATGGTATAACAACTAATTTCTATAAGCACTTTTGGTAAGACCTAAAATTACTATTATTCAGTGCAATAAATGAATGTATAAATCAAAAGGAGCTTATGACAACAATGAAACAGGGAGTTATAAAATTAATTCCAAAACCGGGGAAAGATAGGACAAAACTAAGTAATCTAAGACCTATAACACTTTTAAATACAGACTACAAAGTTTTTATAAAAGTTTTAGCAACAAGACTAAAAACAGGTATTTCTGAAATAATTAGCCCGACACAATCAGGATTTCTCAAAGGACGGTTGATCCAAAATAATATCCGCTTGGTTTTGGACCTCATCGATTACAATTACCTAATTAAGGATGATGGTTTTATGTTGTTCTTGGACTTCCATAAAGCATTTGATTCTATTGAACACACTTTTATTATTAAGACATTTAAACATTTTGGGTTTGGTGATGCATTTCTGGATATGATCACTATGTTGTATACAGATATTAATAGTTGTGTTTCTCTTTTAGAAGGCACATGTCCCAGGTTCAGGGTGGAGAGAGGTATCAGGCAGGGCTGCAGCATCTCACCTCTTTTATTTATTGTAGCCACTGAATTACTTGCTATTACTGTCATAAATTCAAACATCAAAGGATTAGACATAAGTAATCACAAATTAATAATAAGTCAGCTTGCCGATGATACAACACTCTTTCTAAAAAATAAAGAACAAATTCCATTGGCCTTAGATACAATAAAGATCTTTTCTGATGCTTCTGTACTACGCCTGAACCTAGACAAATGTGAACTCATGAGTATCCACAATTGTTCTCACTCTTCTTTGTATGATATACCTGTCAAAAATGAAATCAAATATCTTGGAATCTGGATAACTAAATGCATGGCTGATAGTGAAGAAAAGAATATTCAGCATACAATTGATAAATGCAAAAAAACTCTGAACCATTGGCTACAGAGAGATTTAACGTTGTTCGGCAGGATAATGTTGACCAAGGTTGAATCTTTGTCCAGATTTATCTATCCAGCTTATTCCCTAGCCATCCCACCAAGAATTATAAAAGACATCAATAAGGTGAATTTTAATTTCATATGGAAAAATAAACATAATTATGTTAGTAACAGGGACTTGATAAAAGATTATGAAGAGGGGGGTTTAAAAGCAATCGATTTTGAAATAATGAATGGCATTTTAAAGATTAATTGGCTACGATCTTTCTTGAAAAATGATAATGACATCTGGTTCTTGATACCATCTCTTATTTTCAACAAAGTTGGGGGGATCCAACTCCTTTTAGTATGTGATTTTGAAATTTCTAAACTACCCATAAAACTTTCCAAATTTCATCAACAAGTTTTGTTAAATTGGAAATTAATGTTTAAACATAACTTCAGTCCCCACAATGTTCCATTGTGGAATAATAGGGTGATATTGAATCGGGGGAAATCTATGTTTGTGGAAGAATGGATGACAAAACAAATTTGGTCTGTGACACATATAATAGATGAAAATTGAGATATACTGGAATTAAACAAGCTTAATGAGAAATATAACATGAGTTGCTCGCTCGAGCTTTATAAAAAGGTTTCACAGAATATCCCAACAGTCCTTGTAAATACGGTAAAGAACAATTTTTCAAATATGCAGACTCCAAATTTACATAAAATTAAACTAGATGGTCTTGAATTGGTTGATGGAAAATGCAATAATCAGTTTTTAAGGAAGTATTTGATTAACACTTTATATCCAGGAAGGACAAAACATTCACTCGTTTTTAGAGATTATAACAAATCTGAGATTTCGTTGATCAGAACCAAATATTTAACATTTCCAATTCCCCCCAAATTTAAAGAAGTCCATTTTAAAACTACAAAAAATATTTACCCCTCCAATGAATTTATGAGAGACAGATTTAAATTTGTGTTAGACAACTGTTATATTTGTAAAACAACTTCGGAAACAACAGAGCACATGTTCTATGGATGTGTGACAATCCAGAATTTATGGAAATCTCTCCATGTCCTAATATTGTCCCAGTATGGATATATTGATTTTTGGTCTTTTCAAAATATTCAAATTGGAGTAATCCTTATGGACAAAAATAGTGAGTTTTTAGTTAACAATCTCATTATTATAACAAAGTATTACATACATAAATGCCGATATGCTAAATCCCCCCCTTCATGGCCTGCTCTTAAAAACGAACTCTCCCTGTTCCGTAAATCTCTTAAGCTAATAAATAAGCCCCAAGCAATCAAATTGCATAGTTTTTTAGAAGAGTTTGATTTTTCTTAGCCCCTTATTTAAGTTATGTGTCTTGTCTATGAAACCTCACGTTTAGAGATTTTTGATCCCCCTTGTCTTTTTTTTATTTCTGTTCCTTGTTTTTCTTTTTTCATCTTTCATTTTTTTTATTCTTATTTATTTTTGTATTGGTTATTCATCTTTTTATATTATTTTATATAGATGTGTGAATATGGTTGTGTATATACACATGTGTATATGCAAATATATGTATATATGTGTGCGTGTATGTATGTTTACTTTTAGTTATTGTCGATCTCACTGTGATGTATAGGAGATGTGACTCTGTTCTGTTTGTTTTAATATGTCGCTTTTCTCCTTGAGAATGTCATTGTTACTGTTCTAAATAAAGTTCATAAAAAAAAGAAAGGTAATGTGGCGTCCCCTAGTGGCTACAAGTGGTTAGCACCTCTTAAAAGTGACTCGCAAAAATTATATATATATATATACACACACATATATATACATATCATGATGTGAGAATAATAATATTAAAACAACGTGTTTTAGCCCTGCTGGTTGGCTAAAGGAGTGCGAGAGTCATAGTCGTGGAAATAAGGGGAGGGGCTTAATTTGCAGTAAATTTTTCCACCTCTTCTGTGAAAAACAAAATCTAGATTTCTGATTCAAAGGGATGTTCTGGTGGTTTTCTGTGAAAACTGTTAGTACAAATTCTACTCATTGTCTGACCTCAGTGTTGAGAAGCAGGAATGAGTTGTTTAGACACATAAGCTAACAAAATGATGTCTGAATACAACACTGCTTTTAGAGAATGTCCAGTAACCCCGGCTGCACACTGAAAGCATCCGCGGCGCGGAACGGTTTACTCGCGACAATCACTGCACTCGACTGCTGTGCTCCTCGCTTGACTTGCGAGATCACACGATACCCCGAGACTTCAAAGGTTACAGCTTGTTTATGCGATCAGCCGTTAAACCAAGAAGAAGGACATCACGTTGTAATCACTGATAATGTTATATATGGTGTTTGACCTCTCCACTGCCAGGAAAAAAGCCATGAAAAACACACCACTACACTTCTGGAATGATGCTGTGAGTAAATAAGCGTTAGGTCACACATAAGCTCCATATATGAATTTGCATCGCAGCAAAACTTTTATTTTGAAAATTATCGGTGATTTTACACTGAAACTGTGTGTGATTTCCCGTCTAGCCTTATGTTAACTGCCATAACTGATGCGTCCCAGAAGCGGCTCGCGGACAAAATAGAACCTGATCCTATCTTTAGCGGCGTGGCGTGTTGCTTCTGATCTGAGATGCTTCTGAAAATGTGTTTTGTTACACTCCATAGATAAATGGATTCTATTTGAAGCAGTGCCGTTTTGCTGCCGTTGCACACCACTGATGCTTCCAGTGTGCAATAGGGGCAATTTGTATTTGAAGTAATGTAGCAGGCTAGCAGTGTGTTTATGGGATTAGTTTACTTGTATAATATAATCTGTTATTCTATTTATTGTATTAACTAAAAAATATAAATGTTATTTTGTAAAACTTATTTTGTTTTGTTAAATATGACTTAATAAAGCAGCAAAGTAAAACTTTAAACAAAAGACGTGTGAATTTGGCACAAATCTGACACACTGACAACTTCTTCACACAAAAGTCACAAAGTCCGACAAACTCACGCGTGTGCATACCTGTCAGACAACATCTTATTCCTCTTTTCTCCCTGAGTTTAGTCAGCACGGCCCCATAACCCACTGCCCTCACACAACAGGACCGTTACCTGTGTCTGAGTGCGAGTGTGTGTACTTGCCTTTATATGTTTAAGAGGACACATTTTGACTTAGGTTTTAGAGGTATGGCATGAATTAACGTTTAGCTTGGTCTAGTTTAGGTTAGGGTTAGGAATGGAACCCCATTGGTTAGCGTTAGGGTTAGTGGAGTCACTAAATGAATGGATGTCAATGGAGGTCCACACAAATATATAAATACAAGTGTGTGTGTGTGTGTGTGTGTGTGTGTGTGTGTGTGTGTGTGTGTGTGTGTGTGTGTGTTTGTAAAGCGTGTGTGTGTGTGTTTGTAAAGCTCCTTGTTGCCCAGGTGTGTATGTCTACATGTCTGGTGAGCAGTTAGAGGACTGTGTTTTCTTAGGGGCCGTGTGTGTGTGTGTGTGTGTGTGTGGGTGGGGTGGGGGGGGGGGGTGGGGGGTTAAAAAGGAGATCTTTGTATGTTTAGCACTAGAGAAGCAGCTCCAGTCAGTCCCAGTGTTCCCAGAGGAATACAATGAATGGGAGCATTTTGTCCCACTCTTACCCCCCCTCCCCCCACCCCACCCCCACCCACACACACACACACACACACACACACACACACACACACACACACACACACTTCTCCTCCTCCTTTTCTTCACATTGCTCCTTTATGTGTGTGTTTAGCCATTCTGGCTCATTTTGCTTCGGTCTCTATTATTGCTCTTTGTCGTCGCAGCACATCAGACCTTCTGTCTCTCTGGGAGTTTGTGTCGGAGGGCTTCTTAAGACCGGTCCTCCAAAGTTGTCAGACATGGAGGAGGATGACCGGTACGGCCATGTCTGAAGAGCTAATCAGCCGATTATCACATGCAGCTCCACACAGTCACAGACAGATAACCCCCTGAATCTTAGACCAGCAGATGTTCCTTTAACTGAGAATTCTTAACTGATTCTCATAGGAGGTTTTATTTTTATTTAGAATTTAATTATTTTTATTTTTTGAAAATCATGGAGGTAATGACCAAGTCTGTGTCTGTAGAAGTGCCAGTCCTACTGCACACACTTACTTGGGAGTTTTTTGTTTCCATGAGTTTATATTTCCGCTCAGCTTTGAAACAGGGCTGCAAGTTTTTATATATAAAAACAAAAAGATTGTTTTTGCAGTAATAAAAACAGCCCATTGAAGCACAAATGAATCGTCATAAATGAATCACCTAAACTTCATCCTGAGACTCTAATATTCAGTAATACATTTTCATTTCCAAAGCTAAACTCATAATTAGCCAGACCCCTCAGAATTAGATGAAAGTTTGCTGTTTCTGCTCAAACAGAGGAAACAGCAGCACTCAGATATACTGACTGTATCTAATCAATCAGCCATCGCTAAGTTAAGAATGTTATTGGGATTGCTGGATTAGCATTATTTGTGAGGTTTGCACATTCCTGTATTAAAACAAAATATAAATGCATCCATACTTTATGGGATTCTCACACTTTGCTTTATTTATTGATTATCAAAATCCCAGCCCATTCATTCTCTATATAAATAATAATTTATATTTCTATGTAGTCCTGTTCTTCAAACCCTTCTACTGCTAATAGCTCAGCCCCCACCTCCCAAAGGGCCATCATTTATTTACCTAACTCAGCAGCCTCACAAAGGCAGATGCATGTTGGACTGGTGCTGATGCTGATCTTGATGGCTCACGATGGGGGGGGGGGGGGCAGTTTAGTTAATGAATTGGTAGAAAGAGGATGAATAGCAGTACATGGCTTTGAGCAGAAGGTTACTGATCAATATGAATATGTTGTTAAAGACGGTATGCTTTTGTGGTTTCCCATGAAATCAGAGGTGAGTAAAAACATTTAGAGAGCAGCGATAAGCTGCAGAAACATGAGTTTAGATGCAGAGCATCCAAAATATTTGCTGATTTGTTTTCAGAAATGTCATTAATGATTAAAAATTTCTATTCTTCATGTTGGTACTGACCATATCTGCTTGTCACATGCAATAAACCAGAGCACTTCCAAAACAAACTTTAAACACTTACAGCCTTTAGTTTCAGTCAGTTCAGAAATCAGTCGAACGTCCAGAGAATCCAGGCAAAAACTTCACAAATGAGATGAAAAGTATAAAATAAGAGAAAAAAATTAACGGCAAGGAGGCCAAAGACATCATTTTACAAGCTAGACAAGAATCAATGAAAGAGAAAAGATGGAGATAAAAGGGAGGGATGGAAGGGAAAGTACAGCTGGGTCGTTTCACCCTGATAGATTCCCGCAGGGTCACCTTTGATTTGGTGTCTTCACTCAGTCAGAGCAGCAGTTATGAAGTCTCTGAGCCGACATGAAAAGCAGCTTTTAGTCTCTGTTGTTTTAAAAGCATTTTGTTTTACATTTCTATTCTCGTCCCCAACACTGGACGTTCATTCAAGCATCCTTTTTCTTCCCTTCGGTGTTAATCATGTTTCTGTAATTAAAGTTTCATTTGAATTGAATCTTTAGGTGTATTTATTTTCTTCCTCTGTTTGTGTCTGGCTGGAGGTGTCCGGGCTTCAGAGCTTTCTCTGCTCCAACACACCTGACTTTAAGGAGCGGCTTCTGCAGAACGTTCGGGACACGATGAACAAATGATTCATCCGATGAGCCAGGTCTGCTGGAGCAGAGAAACAACTAAAACCTGCAGATGAGCTGTCAGGACAGGGCTGCCTCAAGAAGGTTTTCTAAGTGATGTGAGCTGTGTAATCTGGGGTAATCCCAGTAAAACTCCAGCTGTATGAGTATTAATAAATCATCTTCTGACCAGAACTCCTTCCTGCTATAAATAACAACAATAAATAAGCAACTAAAGATGTCCAAATCCAATATGAGTCTTGTAAAATTAAGTTTCTGCTAATTCTTAATCTGGTGATTGCTTTACTTTGTTTTTTAATGACACACAGTTCCAAAGGTTGGTTGCTAGAATTCCTAAATTCGCAAAATAATCTAATGTTAGATTTATTACCTAGTTTTAGGAATTCTAGCCAGTTTTGCCTACCCTACTGGTGGAGCTGTTTACTCAAAACTAAACAATAGGGTCATATTTAGGAATATTTACCGTCGTCTAAGTTGTGCTGTTTTTACAAACCAGATGTTTTTGTAGACTAAAAATGAAAAACATGTCCCAAAAAATGTTTTTTTTTTTTACTTTCTTGGAAATCGGTTTTTGCAGTGTATTTGCTAATATTTAGCCTACTTAAGATAAAAATGAAAAAAAAGAGGTAGCTTTTCCACTTTTTGTTTCTGAGGTTGTCATGAAGGTATTTTTAGTTCCTTATAATAATTTTCCCCTTACTGTCCGGTGTTCCCAGGTCCAGGGTCACATGCCTCCTTTGATGATCCCAGTATTTCCTCATGACCAGCGTTCCCTGGCTGCTGCTGCCGCCGCTCAGCAAGGCTTCCTTTTCCCACCCGGCATGTCCTACAAACCAGGTACAATAATGCAACACTGGGGATCCCAATGGATGTTAATCAGGCGTGTCTGGAGGAATGATGTGGGAATGAGCAAAGAGATTTACAAGCCCTGGTGGTCTGCTTCAGGATCAATGCACTGGACACAATGAGAGGCGGAATGTCTCTATGTCCACGTCCTGGAAGCTCGTCTGCACATCCACAACATGGAATTTCACACATTCTCACTCACACATAGATGATACTAAACAATTAGCTCAAAACTGTAAACATCTAGCCGCTCGTTCTCTGAAAGCACCTAAAGAAAGCATGCATGTTGCATGTTTAAACAGCCTACCAGCATTTTCCTGTCACAGCCTCAGCTAAAGCTTTGAGGTCACACCTACTCAGTAATGCTTTTGCAGGATTCTTTGCACCACCTGCCTTCTGAGCGTCTCCTCATCCTTCACACGTTGCCCGCTCCCGTGCCTTCCTCCAGGTGCTCTCCTGACAGAGCAGCACTTCTCATCCACTCCCACAAGGCTGCCTAGACATAATGAAATGAGTTAAAAAGCTGTTATTGTACACTCCGCTCTGACTAAGGTCTGTCCTGAACAAAGACCTGGACATGAAAAGCCTTTTAAGGACAAACAGCGGGGGTCATGCCTGCTGCTTTTAGACTAGCTGGAGAGTGCATCCCATTGAGTGAGCTGTGTTCAGTCTGGTCTCGAGCACTAGCTTGTGCCAACAGCGAGTCTTATTAACCTCTGAATAAAACGTTCGTGACCCTTCATGTTTCTCATGTATAAAAACATGAGCAGAACAGGAACAGAGACAAAGAGTGAGACGGAGAGAGCCGGAGGTAAAGAGCTGGTTTGTTCTTGTGTTGAACTTTGACCCCATCTCCCTCTATACATAATATGTGTTGTTGCATTTGTTCTTCAGGAGAGAATTACCCAATGCAGTTCATTCCATCAACAATGGCAGCTGCAGCAGCATCTGGACTCAGCCCGCTACAGCTACAGGTACAGCTACAGCTGCCGTCTTACTCTGCACCAGTCTCGTCTTCCAAGCAAACAAAATATTTGACAATAAAGTGGCGACAAGTAAGATCACTGAGGCTTGTGCATGTGTGTGTGTGTGTGTGTGTGTGTGTGTGTGTGTGTGTGTGTGTGTGTGTGTGCGTGTGCGTGTGTGTGTGTCTCATTTCAAAACCTCAGACCCTCATAAAAACACAAGAATTTTTCTTTTTTGATCCAAAAGCGTATCCTTGTGTGAAACAACCTATAGTTTTTCAGAATAAAAGCTTAAATCTTAAACTAACCCACTTGAGATGTTTTTAAAATATATTTCATAGAGAAACAGTTTGTTACGACTAGTAGAAATTTATAGCAGACTCAGACTATTATCAGTACATGAAAGCTGCTGTGACAGCAAGGGGAAATGGCTACGGTTCATTTTACACATAAGATGCTGTGGTGTTAGCTGTCGTTCAAAGGGAGGAGCTTAGTTTCTTTTTAATCAGCAGTCATTATCATTTTAGTCCTGTTAAACTGTACAGTCTGTAAGTCACAGTTGAAGAGGTTTTTTAACCCTTAAGTGAAAGTTAGTCTGTTGCCATGTTCCCCAGAGTTAGATAAGTGGGAAAAATGCATTTTGTATCCAGCCCAGTCATTCTCTTGATCTGGCAGTATTCTGTTAGCCTTAGCTGAGCATGAACAGTGTAAGTGAATGGTAACAGCTAGAATTTATTTAATTCTAATTCAAAAAGACAACTGCTTTCCTAAACACAACTATAGGCTCATACCCGGCACAGTGTTTTAGGAACAGCATAGTAAGTTGCACTAAAAATGTACATGACGGACGAAGCAGGTGTTATTTGTGGCTGCTGCGTCATGTCCTTGTGCCTTGCAGCAACCGTTTACAGCAGCGCTTGGTCGTAAAGAAGTCTCAAGTCCAAATTGGCTTCTCTGATTCCTTTGTGTTACTACTTTTATTTGCAGTTGATGTGATTATTGAGGTCCCCAAGGGAACGTTGGATAACATTTTCACTCAAAATTCTAGTTGTTACCATTCTCTTACATTGTTCGTGCTAAGCTAAAGCTAACAAAATACTGCCAGATCAGGAGAATGGCTGGGCTGGTCACAAAATGCTTTTTCCCACCCATCTAACTGTGGGGAATATGGAAACGGTAGCGTTAAGGATTGTCTACATTTATAACAAATGATCAATAAGATGTGATGATTCCATATAAATACAAAATATAAATCTGTTTGATCTTTCAACGTTTAATCAGAAAATTATGGTTTCTTTTACTTATTCAGGGACCATATACACACTTCATACTATTGTCACGTTGAGGAGATGTTTAGGACCCAAAATGCAGATTACCCAGATGACAGGAGGCAGAAGTTGATTCAAAGTAAAAATCCTTTTATTTACAGGATGAAAGAACAAAAATTAATCCAAGGCAGCGGGCCAAAAGTCTAAAAGTCCTGGAGCACAGGACACCCAAAGCTCTCTTAGAGCACCAAAAACCTAGAGCCCAAAAGCTCACTAAGAGCATGAAGACCTAGAGAAAAAAGCTCAGACAGAGCACGAACAAACGCTGACAACAAAACAATGGGCCGACAACCACACAGAGACAAGACAGGGCTTATACAGACTGGGAAGGTGAGAGGGAGATGAATTGCAGGTGTGTGGGGAGAGGGACCAGGTGAACACAATTACTAACTCAGGGAGGAGGAAGAACACACTGGTGGGAAAAAACACACTAAATACTGAAAGGCTGCAACAAAGGAAAATGACCTAAGAGAAAAACAAAAGACCAGAACGCATGAACCATAAGTAATATTCTGGGAAGCTGACACTAAAGGAAAATACTACAGAAAGAAACTACAGGGGCGTGGCTAAGAGGGGGCCAAGAGAGCACAGGACCTGGGAGAGGGATGTCTGAAGAGGGAAACCTAGAGGGCAAATGGGGAACACCAGGAGACACATGAGGGGAGACGCAGACACAGACCATGACAACTATTTCAGACAGAGTCAAGTATATAGTTAATAAAAAGGAATTAATTTCTATTTCCCTAAACTAATGATTATACAAGACAAGGTATGAATGATGGAATGTAATGTATGTAGTGGGATGGAATGGAAATGAAGCGATTGAGTGTAGTGGATGAAATGATGGGATGGAAGCTAAATGTTTTACTAAAACCTTTCTTAAGTATCTGAGAAAATTGTGGAGTCTGGGTTGTAAAATAAATTTGGCTGTGTGTTTGTAAACTAGAGATTTGTTTATAAAACCATCCAGCGTAATTTGTATAGAGTCTACGCACCCTTGTATCCCCATTCAGATCCAGGGGGTCACGAGGTTGGGATGGACCATGCCGATGGCAGGGACCTCTAGGTACCAGGAACTCGTAGATTAGCTCCGATATGACCCGTCTAGTCTTGAGATATCTCCAGCTCACGACAGGATGCTGGAATGCGTATTTGCATCTAAGGCTGTTTGTTGTCTCTTAGAAGAGTCGTTTTGTCTGACATCACCAAGCGTTGCAGAGAGGTTTTGACCTCAGGTCAAAAGAGAGGATGGTTTCAAAACGCTTGTTCCCAAATTTGCTGGTTCTAGAGTCAGCGAGAAACTGAATTAATTCTGGAAACAATTCTGTTTTATCGAATCACATTATTGATGAATTTGGCAAATCAGAAATAATCTTATAATGTGCATGGGTATACTGACAGATCAACTTGTTAAATCAACACATACTGATACAGGAGTCCCCTACCACCAGACTCAGACTGGTACTTGCTATCTACTGGAGACAGATGAATATTTGCATTGTCATCTTGGAATATATCCATTCCAACAGGAAATAAAAAAAATCTATGGAATTGCCTGGTCTTTTAGTATATTCATGTTGACCTCAATCTCAGAGCAACAATTATTCAAAAGGAGCCCTGTATGCATGCTTAGTTAAATCCAGGGGCTTCCCGCTCCCCAAGACCAGTCAGGCAGTGGGTCTTAAACAGTGAATAATTCTCCCAGCAACTCACTAGTGAGAGTTAATATTACCAGCTCATTTAATTTCTTTATTTTTACTGCTTAGCTGCCAAGTTTAGTTTTTTATCACAAAGTTGACAATTAGTCAAGCGCCAGACTCGTGTGAAAACTAGAAGAATCAAAGTGGGTGAAGTAGCGTGAGGGCAGTACAGCTGAACCGTTCTAATGGGGTTTATTTTGCTCTGTTTTGTATTTTAATTTAATTTAATTTAATTTAATTTAATTTAATTTAATTTAATTTTACTTTATTTTATTTTATTTTGTTCAGGAATATCCATCAATTAGAAAAACATCCATAAAAACAGGTGCTACCAAATGAAGCTGGAGGAGGCCCAGTCTGATATCCAGCTTCCCTTCTTCATCGGATATTTGACTGAAGTTACAGGAACAGATAAGCATCACACCCCTCTGCTTTTCTGCTGCCTGTCAGCTTTATCAGACAAAAGCTGTTATGATGAATGACAGAGGAATTTGGCCCCAACAGCACAACGCCTGGCCTTAGCCGTTCATCACATTCTTATACCTGGTTAACACCTGTGGTTTGAGAATAGCTTTAATGATTATCGTGGATCGTGTTTGCAAAGTAAAAAAATTGCAAAATGTAACAAATGCTGGGAGGACACTCCTTAAAGACGGCAGTAAACTTCACAAAACAACTCTGTAACAACAGAAATGACAAAAGCCTTTATTTATCAAACAGTGTTGCTTCATTACCAGTCACAACCAGGGCATCACTTTCAGATGTCACTAGAGTCCTTATCTCAGTTTATTCCCTTTGTTTAGTGACAGCAGCCCATCGGGGCCCTCGTTAGCTGCTACTGACTTAGCAAAGCGCTTTGCCTCGTAAGGGCCCCGAAGCCCCGTCTCCTCTCATGGCTTTGAAATGATCAAAAGAGTTGTACGGTGAGCGAGAGGTAGGAGGACAGCTGATGTCAGAGACGCAGAATCATTCAAACGCTTCCTGATACGTGTACTAGGAAGTAGAGGCAACAGAATGGAGGAGGAAGTTTCTGAGAGAGCTTGAGGAAGTGTTTAGGATATGATTAAAGGCCGTTATTGGAAGACTTCTGAGTTTTGTATTGAACTGGAGGTGGTGGTTTCCACCACGTTTATACATTGTACAATAATGTTTTGTCGAACCAATCATGATTTGATTTGGAGTGACATTTGTACTTGTTAATCTGCATCATGACAACTGTGAGGAGAAACGTTGAAACCACCAGACAGTAGTTGGAGCAGGCTGCACCTCATCGTTGTTTAAGCTTCTTGTTAAGCGAGACACAACTTTGATTCTCTTAAGAAGTTTCATGCTGGGGTTTCTGTGTTGAGCCTTGATGCATTTGTCTTGTGATCAGTTGGATCAACACATCCGGCAGAAATGGTTAAGTCCTTATCCCCACATGTTGGCTTGTTTGGGCCAATGACGCTGACTGGGACCTGAATAAAGATTTGGCCCAGAGAGTCATGTGACCTTGATGGTCTCAATATCAATGGAAGTCAATAGAGCTAAAAATGCTATTTTCTAATCCGCTTTGCCTTACGTCCTGGATCACACAGGTGTCGTACTGCAATTTAAATGAAAACTATTGATGGGTGTTTCGACCACGCCAGTCACTTACTTTGAGATTTATCAGCTTGTAAAAGTTCGTAATTATGATGACTACATCGGCACGTTGCATATGTGACGCCACCACATAATCTCCTCTCCCCTAGCGTAGCTGCTACTTACCAAATGACCAGATTTATGGTGGTTCTTTCCTCCTGTGGGAAGTTTGCTGAACTTACAGCCCTTTTCCCTCAGTTTTCTCCATGTCTGGTTCGATGACGTCACTTTCGTGAAGCGCATTTGTAGTCCTGGACTTATTTTCACACAAAACCTAAAATAGTGTTTCCCCCTGTTCGAAAATGAGTGCGTTCTTGGTATCTAAACGTGTCTAAAAATCTCGAACATCATATATAAA